GGCATGGCTGAGTGCAAGCCATGCGTGACTCTGATGGAGGAGCGGCTGAAGCTGACAAAGGCCAGCACCGCGGCGAAGGTGGATGCAACACTCTACTGGAGCATCGTCGGTGATCTGCGCTACTTAGTCCACACTAGGCCGGACACTGCGTTCGCTGTGGGCTACGTCAGTTGCTTCATGGAGGATCCTAGAGAGGATCATTGGGCTGCGGTGAAGCGGCTACTACGCTACGTCAAGGGGACGGTGGATCAAGGGATCATCTTTCCCAAGACTGGCGGGAGTAGGCTGCAGCTCACTATGTTCAGCGATGCAGACATGGCGGGGGACATCGACGAACGATGGAGCACCTCTGGCGTGCTCGTCTTTCTCGGGTCGGCTCCAATTTCATGGCTGTCGCTGAAACAGAAGGTGGTGGCGTTGTCTACGTGCGAGGCAGAGTACGTAGCGGCGGCCACAGTGGTGTGCCAAGTTGTGTGGCTGCGCCGGCTGCTGGGCGAGCTGACCGGCGTGGAAGCTCACCCACCAGCACTGATGGTGGACAACCAGCCCACCATCGCCCTCGTGAAGAATTCAGTTCTGCACGACCGGAGCAAACACATCGATGTAAAGTTTCACTTCCTCAGGGACTGTGTCGATGGAGAGCAGATCGTCATCGAGTTCGTCGAAACTGGCCGGCAAGTCGCGGACGTCCTCACCAAGCCGCTCGGACGTCTACGACTCACGGAGCTGAAGGAGATGATCGGCATGGAGGGGGTACAAGGGATAGCAGTAGGTTTAGGGGAAGAATTGTTAGAATAAACTACTGCTTTCCTTGTGTGAACACAGCAAGGCAAGGCGGCGCCGAAAAGGCCCCCTGCTGTGATTCTGTAGCCGCTGCAGGTGCAAGCGCCGCACGGCTTACCTGCAGCACTGTAGCCACATGCAGAGGCCGGCGCAGAGTCAGCCATATATGTTATCTAGTTACTGTTACAACATGTGCGCTATACTAGGACTAGATGGATAGAGTTGTATAAATAGACTACCACGGTAACTCAGTAAAAAGAGTTCAGATTTGCCCTCTCCCATACATGGCTTCGGCCAACGCTGGTGTGTTGTACTGTGTGTATTCTCCGTTCTCCCTTCTTCTTCTTGTAGCTCTAGTCATAGTGCGTGGGAACGGACAACACTTGTTCGTGGTCGGCACGGCTAGTGGGTGCTCGACAACACTAGCGGGTACTCGGCAAGACTAGTGAGTGGTTCACTCACCTGAGCCGGTGATCCTGTGGGCCAACAGGATCTACCTCGCACCGATCGATCACTTGGCCTGTCCATATGCAGGTTATATTAACTGAACAATCTCTCTACGATTTCCTAACGATAATTGTTTTGAGACGGTTTTCTAACGATAATTAAGCAGGAACAATAATATATGTAGCTAAAGATGAGCTTAACCGATATATACTAGCTATAGTTGCCGACGAGAGAAGAATATAGAGCTTGTTCGGCTGGGCTGAAACGATCGTATACGATCGTCGATTATTACTGCTGGTTGATTTGGTTTGAGAGAAAAATACTATTTTAGCTAAAAATTTACGATCGTTTACGACCAAGCGAACAGGCCGAGGCCGTATGTTGTGAAGAAGACGGCCGGAGGTTATGGGAGACTGCGAGTGCTCACTGAGTGTCCGGAGGTTATGGGAGACTGCGAGTGCTCAGAGTGTCACTAACAGTGCCAGCTATGCGCACTGAAGCTGCTGACTATTTGGCTGCAAGCAATAGTATCACTTGGCTGCAAGCGAGATGTTTCTGCAGCGTTTCTATCTTTTCTTTTCTTTTCTTTTTTCTGGCTGTTGGGGGCCAATGCAGGGGCCACCTCCTCATGTGCCTCGTGCGTAAATACATTGTTGGACGGTGGAGCAGCTACGATTTCTTGGCACCACGCATCAACATTTTCTTCTTTTTCTCTTTTTAATTTGTTTGATCCTGCAGATGAACACACACACATCCTGCCTGCAGCTAGCAGGGCTGTCTATAAATACCTTACGGGTGCCATACTCGCTTAACCAGCAGCAGTACAAGAAAGCACGATAACAAGCAACACTTGCCCGTGAGTGTGCCTTTCTATACCTTACGTTTTTTTTTTTTTGCAATAATACAGTACTAGTAGTTCGTATATTTCCTTTCAGATCACACAGGACTGAGCATCATCATCAGTTGATTTGCAGTTCTCGACCGACGACGACCACACCATGAGATCTACGGCGGCGGCGGCGGGCGGCGCCAAGACGTCGTGGCCGGAGGTGGTGGGGCTCAGCGTGGAGGAAGCCAAGAAGGCGATCCTCAAGGACAAGCCCGACGCCGACATCGTCGTGCTGCCCGTCGGCTCGATTGTGACCGCGGATTATCGCCCCGACCGCGTCCGCATCTTCGTCGACACCGTCGCCCAGACGCCCCACGTCGGCTGATAAGATGCTGGCTGATGCCTAGCTAGCTTCGGTCGTTCCTTGCTTGCTCCAGAAGTGAATATTCTATAAAAATGAATAACTCGGACATGCTATGTATTCATGTCCGTGTATATCTGCCGGATAATGAATGTGTTATGTGTACGTGTCTCTTTCCTATAAATTATTACTAAATAATGGCATCGTTCTTGCATAAATAAAATGCCGTCCATCCTTCCACGAATGAATAAATGTAAGCGGTGTAGTTGTTTGTTTTCACTTTGTTTCATTATAAAACAGCTGTTCAGCATAATTGAATCTTGGTTGACTCGAGAGCTAAAGTGATCTAAAATTTAGTCAATAAACTTTAGACCCTTGGAAAATCCAAACAGACTTTTGTCTGTACGTTTCCGAAAAGTTTTGTAGGCTGTGCAAATCATTTTAATACGCACAGGGCAAGGGTTTTCAGGATGGTATATCAACTTGATGTAGCTGGTGATTGTCATGAACCAACAAGTATTAGTATTACTCAACGATTGGACACTGAGTAGCACAAAATGGGTTCTGGAAGCTTCTAGATACAAGGAAATGCATACACATGAAGTATATAGAACAAGGAAAAGGAGAAAGGGATAGATCGAGCGTATGCTCGCCTCGAGCTCTTGCTGTCGCCGCTGAGTTTGGATTCCCTGGTCATCCGACACCCTCCGCGTTGATGCTCACTTTCCTTCTGTACAACAAGTTGCTATTTTTTTTTATTGCCTCTCATCTGGGTACAACTGTAGCATCTGTTCATACACACGCACACCCACTCAACACATGCACACTACACACACCACTCGTATACAAACAAACCTATAGCTACACTCAGATCTGAATACCGCGTACTTCTTGAAACCACCGAAATCCACTGATTTCGTAAGCGACGGGCACGTCACGATCCTACTGTGACATCACATGAGAGAGGCAGACGCTTGGAAATTATTTGCTTGCACGGAGCAAGTGGTGCAGAACCGGGTTCGAACCCCGGCCGGCCAGCTCCCACCACCGGAGCATTGCCACTGCGCTCCACACGCGTCCGCAACAAGTTGCTATTAGTTCTATGGGCCAAGCCCAGTGCATATTCCATCACGTGTTGAACGGCCCAGAGGACAACCCATGAGCAGGTCCATGACAGTGATATTGAAAGTTAACAAAAACTACATTTATGGAAGAAAAATTCTGCCACCGTGCCACAAGCATAGCATTTGGGGTCAATTAACAAGACAGTTTAAGTGGTCGGTCGATGGATTCGCGGTCGGTTACTTGGTTTCTCCATATGCAGGTTAACTGAATAATCTCTCTCTAGCTAGGATAGATCTTGTAATAATTTTTTTTTTGTAGGACAACCGGAGGGGAGAAGCACTCCCCACCTACTTGATTGCATTGGAGCAACAAAAGCTTGTTGCTGATCAGTTCCATACGACAGAGTACATTGGAGGAGGGGCAGGACAGTTTTTTGTAGGACTTAATTCATAAGGAAACTACATTACACCAGTGGGCAGCTACACCCCGATCAGCAATAGGCAAGCAAAACTTCCATAGGTTTCACGGCGTCTTTGCATGCTCCCCGAAGACGATTGTACGAGGGCGCCATATCGTTGAAGACCACATCGTTCCTGTGTTTCCATAACATCCAGCATATCAGGCGAATGAAACTTGCTGAGTGAGCGGTGGGGAATCCGGTCGGTCGAGTGATGTTCCAGAGCGAGGTCACCTGGACGTTTTAAGTCTCAAAGCCCATCCGGTTCCACTGATTTTTGGAGAAGCGGCACCTGAGGATTAAGCGGTCTTCCGTCTCAGAATCTAATCCACAGATAATGGGGCATGTATCACCATCAAGGATATGTAGCAGGAGCAACTATATGTAGGCCTTGTTTAGATTGCCTCCAAATTCCAAGTTTTTTCGCTCTCTCTCCATCACATCAATTTTTGAACGTATGCATGGAGTATTAAATGTAGGTAAAAAAAATAACTAATTACATAGTTTGGTTGTAAATCACGAGATGGATCTTTTAAGCCTAGTTAGTTTATGATCGGACAAAGTTTGTCAACTACAAACAAAACATACTACAGTATCCAGGTTATAAAAATTTACAATCTAAATAATACCGTAGCTAAAGATGAGCTCATGCTAGACTAGCTAGTTGTCGACGAGAGGAGAAGAATATAACAAGAAAAACGTGGAGGGACCATTAATAACTCACTATAATTGTCAAGTTTCTGTCGGTGTCTGCTGCGCGTACTGAAGCTGCTGACTGCCTGACTAGGGCCTTGTTTAGATCACCTCTAAATTTTAAATTTTTTCATTTTTTTTTGTTACATTAATTTTTGGACGCATATATAGAACATTAAATGTAGGTAAAAAAAATAACTAATTACACAGTTTGGTTGTAAATCACGAGATAGATCTTTTGAGCCTAGTTAGTCCATGATCAGACAAAGTTTGTCAAATACAAACGAAACGTGCTACAGTGTCCAGATTACAAAAATTTACAATCTAAACAAGGCCTGGCTATTTAGTTGCCGGGAGGAGAAACCATGGATGCATGTTTCTGTAGCGTTGCTATCTTTTTCTTTCCTTGTTTTCTACTGGCTGCAGGGGCCACCTCGTGTGCCTCGTGCGTATATAATATAATGGATGCATTATTGGTGACTGAGCGGTGGAGCAGCTACGATTTCTTGGCACCATCAACAACATTATCTTTTTCTTTTCTGTTTAATTATATCCGCCTAGCTTTAGACCAATAATCCTGATGAAAGAACACAGCAGCTCTATAAATACCTCACCGGTGCATACTCGCTTAACCAGTAGCAGAAGAAGCACAATAACAAGCCACACTTGCCCGTGAGTTAGCCTTTCTATACCTTACGCTTTTGGCCTTTTGCAATACTAATATAGTGGCTACCAGTAGTTTGCTAATTTCCTTTTAATTCACAGGCCAGAGCATCATTATATATATTATATTATCGTCATCAATTGATTTGCAGTTTCAATTCGCGACCGACAACCGATGAGCTCCACGGCGACGGCGGCACCAAGACGTCGTGGCCGGAGGTGGTCGGGCTCAGCGTGGAGGAAGCCAAGAAGGTGATCCTCAAGGACAAGCCCGATGCCGACATCGTCGTGCTGCCCACCGGCTCGCCTGTGACCATGGATTACCGCCCCAACCGCGTCCGCATCTTCGTCGACACCATCGCCCAGACGCCCCATGTCGGCTGATAAGCTCGCTGCTGCTGCTGCTGCTGCTGCATGCCCAGCTTTCTTCGCTCCTCGGTCCAGAACTTGAATAAAATATGACGAATAACGCGGACATGCCATGTATGCATGTCTGTGCATCTGCCGAATAATGGATGTATACGTGTTTTTCTTCCCTACTATATACATTATCACTAAATAGTGTCATCGTTCTTGCATACATAAATAAATGTATCAGAATGTCGTTCATCCTTGCACGAATGAATATATGAACGCTAAATCCAACCGTCGTCCGAGTGATTTCTGGGCGTCCAACACTCGATTTTTTGAGCCGTCCGATCCCTCTGTCATTTAATCTGCCGCATCTGTTTCTTTCTTGTTTTCATCTCTGGCCTAGCAGTGAACGTACAACAGCAGTATGAGCCTTTCACGGGTACCGAGGCATGCAGCTACGCTTCTTCTAGGGACTCAGCGGACCCTCTTCCCATATGTTTCGTGTGCAGCAGACCAAGTAGCTGGCTCTAGGCCGTAGGCATGGCAGCACAGCACAGCATGCGACTGCTGGCCCCGCTTTGCATACGCCTCGTTTAGATTGTGGTTAGGACCAGTATTTGATATTGTAGCATTTTCGTTTATATTTGATAATTATTGTTTAATTATAGTCTAACTAGGTTCAAAAGATTTGTCTTGTAATTTACAATCGAACTGTATAATTAGTTATTTTTTTTATCTATATTTAATACTCTATGAATGTGTCAAAGAATTGATGTGATAGAGAGAGAGTGAAAAAACTTACAATCTAAACGAGGCCTAGCACTCGATTATTTGCAATCTTTAGATCTGGATCGAGTGGTTATAGAAATCGAGTGTTTGATGGGATCCGACACTCGATTATTGTTGTTCGTTGGAATCGCGTGTTTCAGGGAGACTTGACACTCGGGTGACAGACGTCCTTGGAACACCCGACGGTCTAGTAGAAAGACCTATATGAAAGAGGGATCAGTTGTTTGTTTTGAATTTCTTTCATTAAAAGCAGCGGGAGATTTCCATCTAGAGTTCAAATGATACTGTAAAAATCATGCTCTATCTTGATTCTGTCGACTCATTTTTATGTTTATTTTTCTCTATTTATTATAATTAGTGAATATTGATCAACCAAACTAAATAAAAGATTAAGTGACACGGACTACTGTCGCTAGTATATACTCTCGTTATCTATTATCCTTTTGTTTTTGTATTTAAATCTTTTTCGTACTTTTGCTGGTGTTTGTGGAGTAATATATATGAGTCATGTCATCCACATTTTGACAGCAGCTCTCCATGCTTTCTACACTTACATAGTCATAGATAGAATCAAGTGATACACTTATGTTCATACTAAAGGGATTGTTTAGTATAGCTTAATTATAAACTGTGTATAGCAAATATAAGCTGAAACTAGAAGCCAAACGACACATCTTTTGTAACTTTTTTTTTGCCACGCTTCTCTCATCATAGGCCCTATTTCTACTAAAAACATAGAAATTGGGTCATACTGGCTTACTATTTTGGTCATGCTTTTTCTCCATTCGTGTAGCTTATCAAGAAATCGTTTATCAGCATAGTTATACCAAATTGGATCAAGTATCACGTGGTTACACCATTACATGACACTTGTGTTGTCTCAAAGTCAGCTAAACTTTTTCATAGTTTGGGTCATTGATGCAGGCTAATTATAATAGAGACTTCATATAAATCCAAAAAAATATCTATATAAGCAATTTATATAAATCCAAAAAATATGAGCACCCATATGATATGGGTGAGCATGTTCCACCATAAGGAACCAGTAGCGTGATGTAATTACTTATTGTGTCAATTTTTTATCACTTCTTTTTTTGGTTTGAGAGCAATTGAATAGTCAAAATAGATAGTTATTTAAGCCAGTCTCGGTGGAGAGTTTAATTTCGTTGTTTCCAAGACTGCCATGTCATATAGAATGAAATGAAATTTGGATGAAATTTTCACTCTCTTTCGAATGGGAGACGCCTAACTGGGTTACGCGATCTACGACCATGATACGGAAAGAGGGGTTATACCTAGGGTGGCGGCGGAGTTAGGCTAGCGGGGCCGTGGCGGGTCGGTGCAGTGGCGAGGCGACGCGGTGCAGGCAGACCGGCACGGCGACGGGAACTCTAACTCGGCTCCGACGGGCTCTTCTCTACAAAAATGGAACAAAATACTGTCATTTAAAAAAAATCGACAGAACCTCCCCTGCACGGTGAGGTTTCCAAAACCTACAAAAAACAACGGCACGATGGCCGACAAGCACATATGTCTCAAGAGAAGCCATGTAGTTTGGATATCAATCCATGCAGAAGAATATATCCAAGTAGTACCACTACTTCCCACTATTGCTACTAATACTACCACTAGTTCTACTACTACTACTAACACTATTGCTACTACTACTACCACTAGTTCTACTACTACTACTACCACTACTTCTACTACTACTACCACTACTTCTACTACAACTACTACCACTAGTTCTACTACTACTACCACTACTTCTAATACTACTACCACTAGCGCTACTACAACAACTAATACTACTACAACTATCACTACCACGACAACAACAAGAGAGAAGGCATACCTGACGGGCGCTGGGGGTAGGGGCGGGCGGCGTCGGGGTCAGGGTCGGGGTCGCCGGAGTCGGGAACGGGGTTGGGCACGGGCGGCATCGGGGCAGGCGGTCCACGGGGCTGGCGGGTGCAAAGGTCGGCGTTAATGGCCGGCGTGGGCGAAGCTGGCCATGTTCGGCCCACACGCAAGCGAGGAGGGCTGCTGGCGGCGGCGGTGGCGTGGCGTTGGCGGCGTCAGTGGTGGCGGGGCGGGACGGCGACGTGCGTGTGTGCGTGTGTGCGTGCGTGGGAGGGAGGGAGGCCGGTTTGTCTAAGTGGATGGGCCGTTTGCCGAGTGCCCCGATCTGGCACTCGGCAAAGGAGGCCGGTTTGCCGAGTGCCAGATCGGGGAACTCGGCAAACGTGTTTTCCTGTTTTTTTGAAATCTAAACCCTAAACCGCACTTCGTTTTGTTTTTAAAAAAATACCACTTTGCCGAGTGCCAAGCGGAGAGGCACTCGGCAAACATTTTTAAAATTTTTTTGGCACGCTCTTTGCCGAGTGTCCCCACGGACACTCAGCAAAGGGAACACTTTGCCGAGTGCCTGGCAGCTGGCACTCGGCAAAGAGCATGTTTGCCGAGTGTCAAAAGATGACACTCGGCAAACCAATTTTTTTTTTGTATTTTGACCTCCAAACTTTTTCTGTAGTCCTCTTACAGTACTTGGTACTCCATGTCAAAATTTGGTACATTTACCGAACTGTTTGCTATATCTGATATCACATGTGGAGATGTCCTGGTTTGTAAGCATCGTATGTGATAACTTGCACCAAACCTTCTCAAATTTTTATCACATCCTCCACATACGATATCATGACATCTCGACAAGTTTTATGATTTTTGGACTTCGTTTGCATTTTATAGAATTTAAAAATAATTCGTCTGCAAGTTCGTGGTCATGTTTGGTGAACAAGATGTTCGAAATTTCGGGTCCGTTCCAGGATACAGCCTCACACTACACTCAATACCATGAATATCATTTTTTTAATCATTAAATTCCATTATTCGATGCGCGTGCAGTTCAAATTTATATTTTTCGAAAAAATTCAAGTAAACGAAATAAAGTAACTAAATATATCAAAAAGCCATAAAAAAATTCCCAAATTCTAACGAGAAGTTTCTGGTACTTAAAAATGGCTGCATAAAAAATTTAGAGGCCAAAGACAAAAAAAAATCTTTGCCGAGCGCCAGGACACGGCACTCGGCAAAGGGGGTTTTTGCCAAGTGCCAAGAATAAGGCGCTCGGCAAAGAGGGTTTTTGAATTTTTTTTTAGAAATTTCCTCTTTGCCGAGTGCCTTCACAGGAGCACTCGGCAAAGGAATTTAAAAAAAAGTAATTTTTTTAATTCCTCTCTTTGCCGAGTGCCGAATCAGTGGGCACTCGGCAAAGATATTTCAAAAAAATATTGAATCTTTGCCGAGCGTCGTGTCAGGGGCACTCGGCAAAGTATTTTCCAAAAAAAAACTTTGCCGAGTGCCTAACAGCAGGCACTCGGCAAAGAAGGACGTGGCCGAATACCGTTACGCATTGCAGCCTATACCGAGTGCCGTGCTTTTGCCGAGAGCCTGGCACTCGGCAAAGAAGTCTTTTGCCGAGTGCCCTTTTTTGCCGAGTGCGACACTCGGCAAAGAAGATCTTTGCCGAGTGCCCGATTTTTAACACTCAGCAAAGCAATTTGCACTCGGCAAAGGCCCTGTTTCTAGTAGTGTACAGTGCCGACGAGAGGAGAAGAATATATGTTGTGAAGAAGACGTGGTGGCCGGAGATTATGGGAGACTGCGAGCGCTCACTGAGTGTCACTAACAGTGCCAGCTATGCGCACTGAAGCTGCTGACTATTTGGCTGCAAGCAATAATATCACTTGGCTGCAAGCGAGATGTTTCTGCAGCGTTTCTATCTTTTCTTTCTTTTTTTTTTCTGGCTGTTGGGGGCCAACGCAGGGGCCACCTCCTCATGTGCCTCGTGCGTAAATACATTGTTGGACGGTGGAGCAGCTACGATTTCTTGGCACCACGCATCAACATTTTCTTCTTTTTCTCTTTTTAATTTGTTTGATCCTGCAGATGAACAAACACACATCCTGCCTGCAGCTAGCAGCTGTCTATAAATACCTCACGGGTGCCATACTCGCTTAACCAGCAGCAGTACAAGAAAGCACGATAACAAGCAACACTTGCCCGTGACTGTGCCTTTCTATACCTTACATTTTTTTTTTGCAATAATACAGTACTAGTAGTTCGTATATTTCCTTTCAGAGATCACACAGGCCTGAGCATCATCATCAGTTGATTTGCAGTTCTCGACCGACGACGACCACACCATGAGCTCTACAGCGGCGGCGGCGGGCGGCGCCAAG